CTGGCTTTGGTAATAGGGTAATACTGGCTTCATAGAAGGAGTTAGTGAGGATTCCCTTTTTCTTGATATTATGAAACAATTTCAGCAGGATAGATGCCAGTTCTTTGTAGGTCTGATAGAATTTGGCTGTGAATCTGTCTGGTCTTGGGCTTTTTTTGATTGGGAGATTTTTAACTACTGTTTAAATCTTGCTACTTATTATTGGTCTGCTCAGGATTTCTGTTTCTTCCCAATTTAAGTATGGGAGATTATATGTTTCCAGAAATTTATCCCTTCCTTCTGGATTTTCTAGTTTGTGTGCATAGAGGGTCTCCTAGTAGTCTCAGATGATATTTTGTATTTCTGTGATATCTGTTGCAATGTCTCCTTTTTCGTTTCTGATTGAGTTTATTTGAATCCTTTCTCTTCTAATTCTGGTTAATCTAGCTAATGGTCTATTGATTTATTGATTTTGTTTATCTTTTCAAAGAACCAATTTTGGTTTAATTGTTACTTCCAGTAGATTTTTTTCCTTTTTAAAAATGAATTTGAAAAAAACAATTTTTGTTTTTTTTCTTTCCATACCAGGAAGAAAGCACTTTTGCTTTAGGAAAAGAATAGATTCTGCTGATCTTGGTAGTAAGAGAATAAGTTAAATCTCTCAGGATTTAGGAGAATGCCCATCAGTAAACATTGTTTTCCATTGTGCCGTGTGGCATGTTAAGGACTGACATGAAAGGATATTTTAATTTACTTTTTGGAGAAATTTGCAATATTGGGAGCACTTCGTGTCAGTAATACTTACTGCCTGTCCAGTCTGTGATTATATTTTACCTTGTTCATAAGCTAACAAATTAGCATGTTACTGTCATGGTTACTGGCAGAAGATACAAGGTTTTGGGGGGAGAAACAAAGGACTTTATTATCTCAGCACAGCAAGCAATGTGAATATTGGTACATTTCCTTCAGATCCCCAACCCCAGTCCCATGGGAACTACACAGAGGGGCCCAAGTGGTTGCTCTGCACACAGTGGGTTTTGTCACAACTGAGGAAATTAAATTTGGGGAATTCACCACTTTTATTATAAGCAGTAAGCAGTCTTGGTTTTTGTCTAGACATGTTACCTTATCTCTCAAGGTTACCAGCTACGTAAACAACCATGGGAGATGGGGTGGGTAAATGAGTGGTCAGGTCCTTGCAGTCTTGGCACACTCAGCCAGAAAGTACGTGGATGCTCAGGGCCCATGGTAGGTTGCCTCTTCCCAAAAGTGGCCCACCACAAAATTAATTGTTATTCCATTCACTGTCTCAGGATCAAGTCCACTTTTCTTGATGTTATGTTGTCTATAGCAGCTGAAATAAATTTTTTCAAAAATAGTGAATATGGCTTATGACTCTAAAATTTTATCAGACTATTCACTTCCAGAGGAACAAAATTCCCACATAGTCCACGTTCACAGGTGAAATATGCAATTAATGACCACGACTTTTTTTTTGACTAGCAAGATATATCAGGTAAAAGATTTTCCTCAGGAATTGTGTTTACTTTGGCATACTGAATTCATGCCTACTACAAAAAAAGCTTTGTTATGTGTTCTTTGAGTATTTATTTTTTCTCTCCTAATTTGATATGGTCATTTCCTCATTGATATATATGTACTTTTGTCTTTCCCCATCAGTTTCATTATTTTTCTTCTTCTCTTCACAAAGCTTTATGTGTGGATTGCTAAGGCTTAAAGTGTCACCCTGGTTGCAGGGAAAGCCAGATGTCCATTGTCCTTTTATTCACTAGCCACATCAGAACACTCCTGTGTATGTGTCAGATAATTAGGAGTCTGCTCTGATTTTACTGTGTTGTTAACATATTTGCAAAGCATTTTAAACTGCTATTTTATTTTTTTTCTCTTCCCTAGGGAGGCATAATTGTTAATATTTATTGATCACTTTGCAGTATGTTCTATGTAATAGGCATTGTGTTAACTACTTTGCATATGTTGCATTTAATCCTACCACAACTTTAGAGGTTAATTATTTTCATTTTAGGCATGAGGAAACCAAGTCTTAGGGAGATTTTGTAGCTAGTAAGTGGGCAAGGTATTTCTGACTATATGGTCACTTTTTAAACTCTATTGTTCCTGTATTATGCTCTCTTGCCTCTTAAGAGTTCCTGGAATAAGATAGATTTGAGTTGAAATCTCATTCTCAGTATTTACTGGCTCCTTTAACTTAGGCATATTACATAACCTTTCTGAGTCTTGAATTGTATAGTGATGATATTACCATCTTTGCAGATGGGCACGAGGAATGAGATAATATTAGTAAAGTGCCTACTATATAGTTTCTATGTGAGAAGCTACATTTGTATGGTTAAGGCTTTTTGTGTTATTTATTGAGTCCATAACTAAAACTGAAACAGTTCTTGGTAATACAAGGGGATTTATTGGGACAACTTTAGTTCAGTTTAGTTTAGTTCAAAAACAACATAGATTGATGCCTGGCAAGCTGTTTATTATCTCTCTAAAAAATTAAGCCAGATAGATTCCTCAAAATGTTACAGGATTACCACTTGATCCAGCAATTCTACTCCTACGTATACTCAAAAGTTTTGAAAACAGGCGTTCAAATGAAAACTTGTACGCAAATGTTTATAAAAGCACTATTCAGAAAAGCCAAAAGGTGGAAACTGCCCAGATGTCCATCAGCAGATGAACGGATAAGCAAAATGTGGTATACCCACACAGTGGAATATTGTTACTGTATATAGCTATAAAAGGAATGACATACTGATACATTCTGCAACATGGATGAATGTTGAAAACATGCTGAGAAAATGAAGCGAGACACAAAATCCATGTGTTGTATGATTCCACTTATACAAAATATGCAAAAAGGCAAAAATCCATATAGTCAAAAGGGGGATTTGGGGTTTTCAGGGATTGAAGGCAGGAGAGAGTTATGACTGCTTAATGGTTACATTGTTTGTTTGGGGTGAAACTAGCTATTTAGTTTTTTCTTCTCAACCTAGTCAAAGGCAATGTGAGAAAGCCTCTTGCAATAAACAAATTTAACAAAGTTTCACATGCCAATCAGTGACTTTGCATGTTACTATTAAAGTATTAGAATAGAGGACTGAGTTTGGAGCAAGAGGACAGGATGCTGATATTTTTGCTTCCTTCTTTTTTTTAAATATTTAAAGTTAAGGGTAGAAGAAAAACATAGTCTCTAAATTCCAAGATAATAAAGGGTTTTTAAAAGAATCTCTACACAGTGAGAATTATTGGAATTAAACATACCATGGTATATATAAGGGTCATCTTTATTTCTTAACATTTTAATTGCTTTCTAATTATGGAAGAAAGTAAAGGAAAACAAAAAACCTTCTCTAATTAAACTCCTCTGAAGTAGTTGCTGTTAAGAGTAGTATATTTTCCTAGGTATTTTCTCATTCTCACATAACAACAGCTACCTAGTGCTAGGCACTGTTGTAGTGTTGAACACGTATTATCTCTTTTAATCCTTCCAACAACCCTAAAAGAAATGGAAGCATAGAACAATTAAATAATTTTTCCAAGGTTTCATAACAAGTCTCTGATTGAACCAGAGTTGTGGTTGGGGTCTGACTAGAATTTATACTCTTAACAATTATAGGTGTAAAGGGGCTCCTCTCAATATATTTAAGTGTAAATGGTTAAAATTTACTCAATTAAACAAAATCATTTTCAAGTATAGAATTGAAGTAACTTACATTTATTATGTATCTGGTACTGTGCTATTATTATAATCCAAGCAGTTAGCACTTTTATTTTCAAAACTATACAAACTATCCTGTAACTTTTATTTTTATCCAACAGTGTCTTATGTAACTTTCATGTCTGTCATTAGTTAGCAGCCATACTGTATGATAACTATTTAAGGCAACTATTGATTGACACATTTATTGTTTATAGTTTATTGTGTAACATGTTCTAGTAAACATTAAAGTTCTATTAGAAGATATTTTATAAGACAGGAATTCCATCTCTTAGTCATATGTGGCCATGAAACTAGCAACTCTGAAAAGTAACACTTATAGTACAAAGGGCATTTTTTTTGGCAACTGTTAATTTATAGGTCTCTAAATTTTGGCAGGGTAGCTAAAAAAAACTTTTTTATAAAAAATTTTATGTATTAAATAACCTTGATTAATTTTTTTAACCTGTTCTCATTGGTAAAGTAGAGCCTCTGGTGGTGGAGTAAAGATAAGATGAAATAAAGTAGGTGAAAATAAGGAAAGCTCGGTTTAAAATATTTGACCCCTTTCTTCTAAAAAGAACTTTCATTTATTCTTTCATGGACCAGTTGAATAAAATGAAAACTTTAAAAGAAAATAATCTATAAAAAGTCTTTTAGTCTCTTTGTATTTTTCTACGACAACCCTTAAAAATTAATCAAACTAGTAATTTGATAAAGATTTAGGAATTTTATTTGAGTGGTTAATTTTAAGACATTAAATATCAACATTTTAGCAGATATTTTTGGAGTGCAACAGACATATTTAAGCATATTTAGCATATTTAGTGGTTTAGAAAGTAATACTCTTTTCTTTTTCCTCAAATGTTTAGTTAATTCCATGTACCATGAAACTTCCAGAAAGACAGCCTGAGTTTTTCTTTTACTACTCTTTACTGGGAAATGATGTTACAAATGAACCATTCAATGATTTGATCAACCCAAACTTTGAGCCAGAGAGAGCATCTGTTCGCATACGTAGCAGTGTAGAAATTCTTCGTGTTTACCTGGCTCTTCAGTCTAAACTACAGGTAAGTTTGCAGAAAATTGTTTTTTATTGGAGATCATTTTTTAAACATTAGTACCTAAACTCTATCATATTTCAGTAGTAGAGGTCATCTTTCTGTCATATCTTTTGATTTTTTAGATATTATCTTGAATCATGAAGTCATTGGCATTACTGTTACTTTAGGAGAATAAAGTTACTTTACAGAATTTTAGAAGATAACACCTCTCTTCCTTATCCAGTTATCGAGAAAAGAGGTATATCAGTTATCAGTCCTTTATAAAAAAAATTATACCCGGAGCTAAAAGCTGTGGGCACAGGCAAGGTTTCATTATTGTTAGTGGAGACGGTAGGTGTAGGCACGCAGATCACACTCTTGATTTCAGAATTTATGTACCTTATTGCTATTACAAACAAAGAGATAAGACAACTTTCTAAAATCTGCCCTTAGATATATTTTGTAAAGTCTTTTCATTTTTTTTTTTTATGAATATGAAGTGTTTTTTCTTTCTCTTTTTTATTTCAGAATATTATGGGGGTACAAATGTTTAGGTTACATATATTGCCCTTGCCCCACCAGAGTCAGAGCTGCAAGCATGTCCATCCCCCAGAGGGTGTGCACTGCACCCATTGTAAAGTCTTTTTAAATTGGACTCCATTTAAAAGTGAACATTGCCTAGTGAAACTTATTCTTCTCTTTTACGACAATTGCTTTTGCTCAAACTAAGATAGGGTAGTGATATATAGGGTTAGATAGTCATTTGTTTAAAGTAACCTCAGTCATTAGACTTTGCTTGCATTTTGTGCACAAGGTGAAAAGAGGGATTAAGAAATTTTAGTAGAATTGAATTTCAAAGATGGTTCTGCTAAACCCAAGATATTTAGTAAACTGAAGACTATATAAAACAATGAAATGCAGGAAAAAGCAGTTTGAATTTTATTCTGTATCTAACATATCAATCCTAACCAGAAGTATTGATTTATTAGTTTGGAGGACATTTAAGTCATAAAAATACTTTTTCTCCAGCCCATTATCACACCTAATATCAAGAAAAAGCTGGCTGGGTGCGGTGGCTCATGCCTGTAATCCTAGCACTCTGGGAGGCCAAGGCGGGCGGATTGTTTGAGCTCAGGAGTTCGAGACCAGCCTGAGCAAGAGCGAGACCCCGTCTCTACTAAAAATAGAAAGAAATTAATCGGACAACTAAAAATATATAGAAAAAATTAGCCGGGTATGGTGGCGCATGCCTGTAGTCCCAGCTACTCGGGAGGCTGAGGCAGAAGGATCGCTTGAGCCCAGGAGTGTGAGGTTGCTGTGAGCTAGGCTGACACCACGGCACTCACTCTAGCCTGGACAAAAGAGTGAGACTCTGTCTCAAAAAAAAAAAAAAAAAGAAAAGAAAAAGCTACAAGTTTCTTAACTCTGTCACTGCTAATATTAGAGCTAAATATATTTTTATGTAATGATTGCTTATTCATAGAAATACACGATTCCTATATTGATGCACAGTGCTATGTTGACATCTTCAATATAGTAAGGGAAAAGAGTAATTGTATAACATATACCTGGAACAGTTTATTCTTTTTTTATAGTTGTCAAAAAGTGGTAATGTTGAACTTTTTATTAGCTATCGGTGATTAATGGTACATTCCACCCCGGAAGGATTGTTTTACCTTTTACTATTAAGCACTCTGTTTTATATATAAAGTCTGAAAAGCAAGAAGAGAGAGAAACAGTCAAGATATTTTATGGGTGAATAAAACAAAATTATTTGAGGTTTTTAACACGGTAATTGCTACGTGAGTGGTATTTAGCTCACACTGGTTTTGAGCCCAGGGGCTCATGAAGCATATGTAACTGCAGTTGGTTCATGAAAATCTTACTTGTTGATGATCTTATTGTTATAATTAATATTGACAGTTTAATTGCGTATAACTCACGCACAGAAAACAATAAAAAAATAGCAAATTTTTCATTAAATTAGAAATGATTGTTTTGTTTTTTAAGTTTTTTATTCTACTTTTGTAATAAAACACTGTAGCCTCAACAAAATTTTTTTTCTAGTGTGGCAATATGTTAAATTCCAAGTCGAGGTTGATCCACTGACATATTTTAGAACTGTGTTTAAGTTAATGTTAAAATGGAAATAGAAAAATGTTGAAGTATTTGTTTTCTATTTAAATTCACAAATCCATTATTTTATTATATAATTTGCATATGTAAAGTGGCATAGTAAAAAAATAGTAAAGTAACCATAGTTCACCAAAGAGACAGAAAAAAGGGTGATAATATATAACTATATAATACTGGAAAAGGAAAAGAGGTAATAGCTATTATTATGTTATTAGTAAGCTTTGTGTTTTATCACCAGTTTTAACAATCATATATGAGAATTCATTACTTAGTCACTGCAGGTCAGTGAGGTAACTTGTATTATGTTTTCCTTCTGTGAATCATTTTATAAGTTTTTATTAAGTTTATGGTGTTCAGGAGAGAGGAGAAAGTGTAAAGCCCTATGGTGATTTTCCCTTTCATATTAGATCCATCTCTGCTGTGGAGACCAGTCACTTGGGAGTACAGAAATACCTTTAACTGGATTACTGAAAAAGGGCAGTACCGAAATCAACCACCGCCCAGTCACAGTCGAGGGTGCTTTTACCCTTGACCCTCCAAACCGAGCCAAACAGAAGCTTGCACCTACTCCTGTTGAGCTAGCTCCGACTGTGGGAGTATCTGTGGCTCTGCAGAGAGAAGGCATAGACTCCCAGGCAAGTAGTGGCCCTCCTTCGATTCCCCCAGCTTCTCTAGTCTCACTCATGATTGATTACACAAGTGGAACTTCAAAAGAGTTACCTGGCATAAGAATATATTTATTATTCTTAATTAGTGACCTACATCAGTGGTCCCCAACCTTTTTGGCACCAGGGACCAGTTTCATGGAAGACAGTTTTTCCACGGACTGGGGTCGGTGGGTGAGGTTTCGTGGTAGGGAGGGAGTGGCTGATGCAGCGCGCAGGCCATTTCCTAACAGGCCATGGACTGGTACCGGACCAGGGGTTGGGGAATGCAGGCCTACATTATATGATACCTCCTTTTTGAAAAGACCCTTCTAAAAAGTGCTATGGCTGCTACTTTTGTGATTTATAATTGACTATACCCAGAGCCCTCTTAGCCTCTGGGATAGCCTTCTTGTGCAGTGGAAACCATTCTACTACTAAATGAGAACCTCCCAACTCAATGATTATGGCGGAAAAGGAACTCCAGTAAAGGAGAATATTCTTAGACCTATTTTCTGGGAATCTGCATTTGATGGTATCTTTTTGGTTGACACAGACTGAGCTAATATAAGATTCTTGGTTCATTAATGCTTTGTAGTCCTCTTACACCCTTTAGGCAGATTTTGTAACAGAGATGGGCATTTATTTGAATATATATATTTTTTTTATTATATCTATCCCCAGAATCAACTTTGTCTTATTCTTTCAAAGAGTTTATCTTCATGTAGATTTTGAATTAAAGGTAGAAAAGCTGTTTAAAAGATATATATGCATATATTTTTAGAGGGGAGTGGAGTAAAGGAGAGAAAAAAAATCATACAAGACATCTGTTTTTTCTTTTTAGGAGTATAGTCCTCCATTGTGCTGCCTTGGTAGGAATAACCATTCCCAGGGACACCTATGCCTGACTTCTTTTCTCAAGTGTCCCTTCTTACCCATTAGGATGCATTTTGGTACTCAGCTCTGGATATCATATTTCCTTCCTGTTCATCTTCCTTTTTCTGGTCCTAGATGCTATAAGAAAATATGCAAATTATGAAGAAAAATAGACTAGGAATATCCAAACTGGGAAAGGAAGCTTATATTTTTAAAAATCAACGCCAAGTTTTTTGCTTAATTGTGAAGGAAAGTTCTTTGCAAATTATACTTTATTTAAAAATTGTTTTTAGTCTTTAATTGAATTAAAGACCCAGAATGAACATGAGCCAGAGCATTCAAAGAAGAGAGTTTTAACCCCCATAAAGGAGAAGACACTTACTGGGCCAAAATCACCAAGCATGTCCCCCGTTCCACCTCACAACCAGTCACCTCCAATAAAAGATGATGCTACAGGAAGTGAAGTGGAAAGCTTACAATATGACAAGGACACCAAACAGAATTTAAAGGGTAAGATGTTCTTTTTACAGATCTTTTAGGTATTGCATTTTGCAGCCATCTAATGACTCTGAGAACTTTTATGCCTTGTAAGTAAAAATTATGGGTCTTTTAATAATCAGTAATGTGTAGTGATATAAAAATTTCCATTTAAAGTCATTGCAATTTATCTAACTGCATAATAGAATTTTCTAAATTAAGCTAAGAGAATTTTTCATTTTATTTTCACATTGGAAATATCCTAGGCAAAGAAATTAAAGAATATAGTTCTTTCAAATTTTTAAACTGTTAAACTCTTATATCTTGAATTCATTGGAATTTTTGAGAAAAGAGCTATTAACTGGTTCTTACTGTAAACTCATAATATTTTTGATCCTGAAATTAAAAGTCTGAGAATGCATGTTTATCTGGTTTTATAAAATATTTTCACCCATTGCATAAGGGTCTATAGTTAGTACTATAACTTATCAGTAGTGAATTAGGAGTTAGAAGTCTTTGGTGCAAGTTACATCTCTGTCACTTAGTAGTTGTATGACTTGGGCCATTCATTACACAGCTCTGGTCTCTAATAGGGTTAGACTAGATATCTCTGTCTTTTCAAGTTTTAGCTTCTTGTTAGACTATTTCATATGTGCCTAAAGTAACCACATGTCATGTCTCAGTAAGTCTCAAATATAACCCTTTGAATGCAAAGTTGGGTGCAGCTACCTCTTGGAAATGGGTTAGTGCCTGCTAGTCTGCAGTCATACATTACTCTATTGGTTCTGTATGTTTTTATGTTGTGCAATATGTGTTGAGAGTAAGCTCTTTCTTTACACAATTCTGGAATGAGAATTAAAGCCTCAGTAACAAGTCACTTTTAAGACACTTATGCCTCAATTCATATGTTCATAAGACAAAATAGTCAAATTCCTTGCTTGAACATAAATGAGATGATAGCTTTAAATTATCTGGATAATTTAAGAGAAACTGGTAGCAAGTGGAATGATTTTTTTTTTTTCCCTGTTCTTTTTAGCCAATTCTTCTGTACCTGCTTCACTGGCTCAGCCAGCGATTACATCCAATGCTTCAGAAACAGCTTCTGGACAGAAGATTGCTGTTCCAGCAACATCACATCATTTTTGCTTTTCAATAGACTTGAGGAGTATCCATGCCTTGGAAATTGGTTTCCCAATCAACTGTATATTAAGGTGTGATTTGATTTTATTTCAAAGTAGTATTTTCTGAAGAGAAATGCTTTTTCTCTGGGGAGTTGCAGAGAGAAATGTTACAAAGAAGTTATAACATTTGTTAAATTAGTGGACTAAAAGGGGGAAAGGTTAATATTGCAATGCCTTTGAACTTAAACCATGCTGGCAGTGGTGGCATGAGTGGTCTTAACCTGTTCTGCTATAATAATTGTAGGCATTTAAAATAATCTATTAATGCTGCCATTTAAAATACATCAGCTCTTAAACTTTCAATATTTTTTTTTCTGGAAAAAGGTGCTACAGGTCAAAATAATGATAGTACAGTATCTGATTTTTCTATCAAACTATATTATAATGGGAGGTTATATTCCTGATATCTATATTTTGTAGGTATGAATCTAAACACTGTACTTAATGAGCTGTAAGTGGAATATGTTCACACTGTTCAATATATGTCAGTTAAACAGCTTTACATATTAGTTTTTAATAAAGTTACATTTTTATAGACTTTTGTTGGCTACAATATAAATTAAATGTAATAGAACAATGTGTTTAGTTTGGCACATTTAGCTTCTTATAAATTTCTTTGGCATAAACATCATTTGAAATAAAATTCTTAGTCTTTCTGTGATTAAAGTGAGAAAACCTTTGTGTCATCATGAATTGCCATTTCTATGAGTCTCAGCAAGTCCACATTGCTTCTTGCTATCATTTGAGGCAACTTTTAAATGCATATATCACCTCATACTTGCATCTGATTTTTCAGTTCTTTGATTCCTTATCAAATTGTTTCCCAAATCCTCTGTGCTTTGGTATGAATAATGGACAGAATCAATAGAATCCAGCACTAAGTGTGATTGTGAATTCATAGAATGAAAATCTTTCCATCTCAGCTGAATTTCTGCAGTTTACTTCTTGTTAGATACTGAGAATCATTACTAAAAATTTATTTGGAAATTGAAAATTGAAAAAAAGATTTTCTCTCACAGCCATAGCTTTTCTCAAAGTGTTTCTATAACATCTCAAAATTGCTTTTAGAAATAAAATTATTACTTATTCTCTAGTTGTTTTTTTTTTTTTTTTTTTCATCTCTTATCTCTATTCCTTTAACTGAGATCTCTCTTCTGCTACTACTAGGGTATCTGATCTTAGAATACTTAAGATGTTGGCTAGAAGCACAGAAACATAGGGATAATCTAGAGTTAGATGCTGTGAGAGGGAAGCTTTATACAAGCCCACTTAGGAAGTGCTAATATTAGTTTTTGAATTTACTTCTTAAGAACCATTTGTTTAATCATTAAGCACCTACATTATGCCAGCAATGTGCCTGGTGTTAGAGGTACATGAGCCACATAAACAAAGAGGAAGACAGATTCAGAAATAAGTCTACATGAGAGAGAATAGTAGTTCACTTGGCCAAGAAAAAGGGAAATGATATTCTAAACAGAGGAAATAGTCACGATCCACTTAATACTCTATAGAATTCACCAGATGTTAAGGACTATGGGTGTGTTTGAATCATTTTAAAGCATTTTTTAAAATGGCCATTTAACTTTTTTTCAGTTTGATAAATTTTATATTATCATGCTCTGCATTGGTATGAAATTGTGTGCAATTCTGTAATGGAATTTGTGAGGTAACACTGGTATTTGAAAAAGTTTAATCTGCAGTGCTTTCTTGAATTTTTTTTTCTTACACTAACTAGATCCTGTAGTGGGATGGTAGGGGGTTAAAATTCTAGGGCATGAATTTTCTCTAAGGATGACTCGATTTCATTGGATGTATAATTATATAGGAATTCTTGTGCAATTTTTACAAGTAGGGTTTAAATTTTAGCGTTTGATAACAGGATGAAATGTAAGCATGCATAATAATATCTTTATATTTGACTTTAAATACAGAGTAAGTTCAGCAGTAGTCAGGCATTCTTCTTTTTCGTGTGGTTTTGTGATGAAAGGAAGAAAAAATGTTATGTCACTCTGATTTATCCGTAATACTTTGGAGTTGCTTTCATCCTTGATTCTCTGTTCAGAGGCAGGTTACTATGAATACATCCTTTTAGAGTTGACTAAGAGCTTTTTAGCCCATAAAAGATCACTATTGTATCAAGGAAACTAGGTTTACAAATTAAATTTAGCAAGCATTTCTTGAGTGTTTACTATATGGCAAAAATTTCTTGTTCCTGGAAGCGAAGATGAAAAAGATAGGATGTGAGCCCTCAAGGAACTCTTAAAAAAATGGCAGCTCTGTATTTCTACCATTTTTCTAGTAAAAAACTCTATTTGCTTATAATATTCATATACTACTTTGTAAAAAAAATCTATAAAT